CTCGGCACACGTTGCTATAAAAGGAAAGGATCTGTCTTCCCTTTGATCCCAGCTGTTGGGTGACTCCCAGAGCTGGGAGTCCTGATTTGCTCCTTGAAAATGCATCATTTGTCAGGAGGGAGCTGCTGTGTTAAACATGAAAGGAATCAGTGGAAGTTGGCTGAGGAGCTGCAAGCTGGAGGTCCCGATTGCTGATCTTGTGGAGATCCTAATCCTGGTGTTTGGAAGTTGCCCCTTGGCTTTGGTCACTCCCATCACGTTCCATCCTGCTCCTGATTGTGGGATTAGCAGGAATACCCTGAAATGAGGGGGTGCAAAACCTGGGGCTGTGGGCTAGGGAGTGAGGCAGCAGTGGAATGAGGCTTTAGAGCTTCATGGAATGGGCTGACCACAGAGATAATGGAGTCACCATGCCTGGTGACTACTTCAGGAAAGTCACCATCCCTGCTCAAGGAAAGCCTGGATGTGGATGGTCTGGTTGGCGTGGTGGTGATGAGGCACCTGGTGCCATGGTGTGGTTGGCACGGTGGTGTTGGGTCTTAGGTTGGACTCTGATCTCAGAGGTCTTTTCCAACCTGATTCTGTGATCCTAAAATGGAATGAGGCTTCTGTTTTATGAGGCATCGCTGGCACTGTGGGAACAAGTTAAGCCACCAGCACCTGCACTCAGTTATAGAGTCAAAAGGGAGTGTTTCGGCCTTGGAGTGTGTGAGTCAAAACCTGGAGTTCTCAGGAAGTCCTGGGAATCCCAGTTAACTGAAGGACAACACCGGGTGCTGTTTACCAAAGGAACCCTAATAAAGGGGGAATGCAGGGAGAGCTCTGTGGAGAATCCCAACAGAGACTGGGCACAGGCACTGCCAAAAACAGGGACATGGTGTTTGGGATTTGTGTTCCCCTCAAACACCCTCCTTCCCTCAGCGAGTTCCCCGAACGTTTCCCTGTCTTCCCTTCCATCCCGAACTCCCGGCCAGCCGTGTGACTGAGCCGCCGTGTCCCCGCTGTGTCCCCTCAGGGCGGGATGTGGTACGGGGTGGACGTGAACAACGAGGACATCGCGGACAACTTCGAGGCGTGCGTGTGGGAGCCGGCCGTGGTGCGCATCAACGCGCTCACCGCCGCCTCCGAGGCCGCCTGTCTCATCGTGTCCGTGGACGAGACCATCAAGAACCCCCGCTCCACCGTGGACGCCGCCCCGGGGGGCCGCGGCCGCGGCCGGGGCCGCCCCCACAACCACTGAGACCCCGGTGCTCCCCGACCGGAACGGCGGCGGCACGGCTCCGATGGTTAATCCCCGCGTTAATTAACCCCCCGCGCGTTAATTAACGGGCTCGTCGGCAGATGGTCGCTTGGAGGGCTGGTGGATGTTGTGTTAATTAGAGTCACCTCTTGGCCCTGGCAGCCACGGCCCCCTGTGGGCTGCCCTGCCCCAAACGTTTCCCACACAGCACTGATCCCCTCGGGCTCGCCTGGGCATTCCGCTCGGGAACGGCCTTCCCTCTCCCGGCGCGGCGAGGATGGGCTTTGCTCCTATTTATACTGGTTTGTTTTTCGTTTTTCTTCCTGCTGGGGAGGGGTTTGGACCCCAGGCTCTCCAACACAATAAAAGGATGAACTTGTCTCGGTGGCAAACTGGGCTGTTCTCTGCTTTGTTCCGCTCGGTGGTGGGTCGTGTTTAGAGTTAAAAAATAAACCTTTCAACGTTGTTTTTGCCCCCTTGCAAAGCAGGTGCTGTGCTGGGAAGCAGGACGGACTCTGAGCACATCCCAGGAGTGCTTCCAGGGTGGATTCTTTCTCTTGCAGCTCTCTGATGCTGCTCAGTGACATTTTTATTGGCATTTACGTCTTGCCCTTGGCTTCCTGGAAGGAGGTTCAGGGAGGTGACAGCTCTGGGTCTGTGGGGAGGGAATGTGTGGGTGCTTCAGGGCTGGGTCCAGGTGTTTGGGTTGACTCTGGCAGGAAAATTCTCTTGAGGGAATACAGGGAGACTTGGACCTGGTGGGTTGGAATGTTAAGGGAGGGCAGTGGAAGGAATTTCATAGAATCACAGCATGGTTTGGATTGGAAGGGACCTTAAAGACCATCTCATTCCGTGGGCAGGGACATGTTCCACAGGTTGCTCCAAGCCCTGTCCAGCCTGGTCTGGGGCATTCCCAGGGATGGAGCAGCCACAGCTTCTCTGGGAAAGCTGTGCCAGTGTTTTCCCACCCTCCCAGTGCTCCCCCAGTATCCCACTTTGTCCCGGTGCCCTATGGAACTGGACCACTGGAGATCACGGACCTGCAGGGAGAGGGAGGTAGGAGGATGCTCCCAGTAAGCCCCAAACAGCAGCTGGTCTCACTGGTTTGCTGCTGGTCTGGCTTCAGAGTGAAACCCCACCTCAATCTCCAGAGTCTTTATTCAACACTGAATCATAAAATAGCTCTTTACACACTTTTTTTTTTTTTTGGGGGGGGGGGGGGGGAAGAGGGGGAATTGGTTTTTTTTTGTTGTGTTTTTTTTTTTTTGTTAATTCCTTAAATACACATTGTTTACACTCGCCAAAGTTTCAAAGCAACAACATCAAAGTGCGTCTACAGGTGATAGTTCCAACCAAAGTGCTAAAAACCACGGTCTCCTGGCCGGAGTCGGACCCTGCTTCCCACCAAACCCACCTGCAACCTCCAGTGCACCCTGATCCCACCACTCCCCCTCCTCCAGGACAACATCCTCTGGTGGATTCACACCCAGGACCCGGTTTAGCATCGAGGGACCACGGGGATAAGAGGAAGAAAACAAAAAAGGGGCTGTTTGGTTCTCCAGACACTGGCACATCGCTGCGAAGAGACTAAAATAGACCTAAATTTATAGAGAGTTTAAAAAAATAACTTGGGAGGCAACTGGCTACCTTTGGGGAGGGGGGAGGTCGCTGTACAGGGGCCCCTCGGAACCCGCTGGCGGAGCAAACGAGGGCTCTTCAGGGAAAAGGATCCCAAATCCCTGTATTTGGAGATCTCTCTTGCCCTGGACTGATTATCTCCTCTGATTATCTCGAAGCAAAAGCCACCCCACACCATTGCACCCACTTGTCCCCGGCCCCAACCTGCCTCGTTGCCCCTCCACGGGGCTCAATCCCGAGGCTGGATCAGAAAAATCCCATAATTTTCCCTGCTTTTGGGCAGCTTTCCCCTCCTCTCCTTTCCTCCCTTCTCCCACCCTCCACGGGGGGGATTATTTTACCTCCCACAGGTGAGGAAGATCCATCACCACCTTACAACAAACCATCTCCAGTTCCTAAAATCTCCCTGCTTTCTTTTCCCCCCTTTTAAAGCATTTTCCCACTTCCCAATTCCCAAATGCTTTTGCTCCATCCCGACCTGCATTTTTCCTTCCCCCAAAACGAGAGGCTGAGCTTCAGCAACGCTTTTCCTGCGGTTTTTTTGTTCTGTTTTCCCTAAATTCAGAGTGTTTTGGAGGATCCATGCAAGCTGTGCCCCTGCTGGCAGCTGGCACCGGGACACATGGCATAAAAAAAGTGGGATGAAGATTAAAATCCTCCTTGGACAGAGCTAACCCTGGAGTTCCCATTTTCCTCGAGCCCTGACATCCCAGATCCCCCAAACTGGGGGCACAGGGATAAGGCAGGAGGAGGCAGCTGGTCCCTGGAGCATTCCCAGCTCCTGGGGGCTCGGATGGATGGATAACAAGCAAAACCCAACCAAGAAAAACATGGATTTGGGATAAATTTGGCCCCTGAGCTGGCTTTGGTGATGTTGTTCCTCTTGAAATCCCTGACCAGCACCCAAATTCAAGCGACAGGGAATGCTGGGAATGTTGGCCACAGGGAAACTTCAGGAAAACTCCTTAGAAAAGGAATAAATCTCCCCAGAACTGGTCCTGCAGGAGCCAGCTCTGGAACCACCATCCAACCAGGCCCTGCCAGCTGTGGCCATCGCTGTGACCCCAATTCTCAGCCCGGATCCATGGATTTTGCTGGGGATTGTCATCGCAGAGCCCCTCTGGGGCGTCTCTAGGATCTGGAATGGGGCTGAGCTCCTGGATACACTGCCTGATTTCAAGGCTTTTCCCAGGGAATTTGGTATTTCTGTGTGTTTCCGTCCATTTCCAGAGGAAATGGGGTTGAAACTCCGTGACCCGGGCGGTGAATCCACGAGCATCCCGTAGGGATGGGGGTTTGGGGAGGGGAAAAACAGCGGGATGGGGAGGGAAAGCAGCAGGGAAAGGATCAATATGACATTTCAGTGGAAGGAATACAGAGCTGTTAATGAGCTCATTAACAACCTGGGCAATTAGGAGCCACCAGGAGGGCTGGGCCCTCATTACCACCTGTGTCCTTGTCCTCATCCACCTCCATCCCAAGATGAGGAGGGAGGGATCCGTTCAAGCCCAAGGAAAACGGGGAGAACCCCCCACTTCCCATCTTCTAATCCTTGAACCTGCTCAAGGCCTTGTGTCATCAGAGGATTTCTGTGGAAAGGTGGCTTTTGCCGAGTTGAATTTTTCGGGAATGCCCCGAGGGGAGGCCGATGGTTCGATCTGGTCTCGGTGACACTTCAAAGCACCAAATTCCAGTGGGAGTGTCCTGCCATGAATTCCAAACCCCAGTGGCTCCAACACCACCACAGACACGGCCACTGACACCACTGGCGGGCACAGAAGGTTTCTTCTCCAAGAATCCTCAAACATCTCCCCCTTTTTCCACCACCTTTGCCTTCCCAACAGCCCCGAGGAGCTGGGAGAAGGTCCCAAAAACCCGGAGCAAACCCGGAGCAGCCGCCTTCAGTCTTTGGACATGACTCTCCACCACGATAGTCTTTAAGCATAGAGTGTATAAACATGCTGAGTATATAATTTTCCTTTAAAATCTTTTTTTTTTTTTCCTTCTTTATAGAAATAAATACTTACTTTGTTAGGGTTTTTTTTTTTGTTGTTGTTTGTTTTTTTTTAAGGGAATTTCCCAAGTCTCTGACAGCTCCGCTGGGACACTTTCCTGGGATAAGGGCTGGATGTTCCCCGGGGGGTTGTAGCTTTGCTGGGTGGGTTTGTTTTTTTTTTTGCTGGTCGGGGCATCCCTTGCTCCTCTTGCCCCTGGAATTTGTGTCCCAGTCTTCCCCAGGTGGAGGTAAAGCCACGGCAGGGAGCTGATCCCGGTGCCAGGAAGCTCATCCATGGGGATATGGTGGGAGGCAGGAGTTTCTCGCAGGCATTTTTTGGGGGGCTCCCACATTTTGTGCAGACAGGGAGCAGCTTTCTCCTGGAAAAGCTGCAGTTGGAGGGGGGAGCAGAGGTGCTTCGAACGGGGGTTATGGCCAAAAATCCCTTACCCTGTTTCAGGAGACGGCGTGGGTGGGATGAAGGGGGGATGAAGGTTCTCCTGAGGTGGGGTTGGAGACCCCGGAGGTTCCTCCAGCCCCCCACCGGCTTCAGCGATTTGGGATTGATGTTGCTGTCTCTCAGGATCCCCACGGACTGTTGTCATGCTGGCAGCCCTGGCTGAGCTCTGCCATGGGCGAGGAATGTGGTCCCAGATGGATCTGCAGCCTCCTCCCTCCTGGAGGGATGTTCCCTGTCAGCCCCTCACCCTGGGAAGGCTGGAAGTGGAGGGAGGTGCCCTGGGAAGGGCTGTCTCCTCGGAGCCACGCTGGCCAGCAGGCACCAAAACCTCCAACACTGGTCCAAATCGGAGGAAAAACCCCAAAAATCTGCTTTTCCCAGTCGGATTCTCTCCGCTCAGCCCGATCCAAGGGCACCTGGCGGGGGATTGGGATGACCAGGGGCTGTGGTTAAGGCCGGTGTGTCCCCACTGCTGGCAGTGCTGTGACGGGTGTCCCCAGTTCCCTGGGCACCTCCTGGTACTTTATCCCCAGGGTGGAGCATGGAGATGCCTGGCCCTGCTGGATGCCTTTCCAAAGCCTTTTCCTGTGGAAAAAAAAGGGTATTTTGGGGATGACGACCTCCTTGGAGACACCCGGGAAGGAAAAAGCAGAGTTAAAAAAACCAGCCGTGGCCACGGATAAGGGTCAACCAGAGGCTGTCGGGTGGTGCTTTCACCAGCAGCTTTGGATTTTGGGATGATTTGCCCCGGGGTTTCTCCTTCAGGCTGCTCTGGAAGGCGATGAGATGGCAAACACGAGCGTCCCATTCCAGTCCTTCTCTCCACGTGGGACAACTCGCTCCGGATGGAGCCTGAACGGGGTGGTGGATGGTGGGGACCGGAGCGTGACCCGTGTTTCCTGGTGGACGAGGATTTTGGAGGTGGTTTATTGCCTTGGCAGGAAGGTTTTGGTGGAGAGGAAGTGAGGCTGGAGACCTCTGGAAGAGCAACCATCTCTCCTGGTGTCCTCTGGCTCCCACAGCCCCCCGGGATGCAGCTCTGCCCCCCGGGCTTGTGCTGTGGGGGCTGCTGCTCTCTGGGCGGCGTTTGCCCAGGTTTGGGAGCCCCTCTGTCCAACAAATGAAACGGAGACCCCGCAGGAACGCTGGGCGTCCTTCCCTCTGGAGGAACAGCCCCTTCCCACCCCACCTCCCCCACCCCACGGAGAGGACAAGGAGCCCGTGGGATGGGCCGGGAGATCCTCGGACGGTCAAAGAGAAAAAACCCCTCCAAGAAACAGAGCCCGAAAGAAAAAGGCATCCCCCAAACACGGATCCTTGGCAACGAGTGGCCGCGGGGGTTCCGAGCCATCTTCCCCTCCCGGGAAGGAGCGTCGCCCTGTCTCCTGGGGCAGCCAAAAAAAACTGTCCTGAAGTAGCACCTTCTCGCCCGCGAGCCAGCCCTGGGATGAGCTCCGGCTGCCAGTCACTAAGGCCTGCGAGAGTTTCGGGTTTTCCTTGTGCACGAGCCGGCGGATCCGGATCCGCGCGCCGGGCGGTGGGTTTGGTTTTCACGGGGCCTCCGGCGCCCGCCAGGCAGGGGAGGGAATGTGCTTTGTGCTTCCCTGAAGGTCTAACAGCCTCCTTCCACTTTGATGTGTAAAATCTTGGAGAAGCCGGGTCTTTTCCTCAGGGCCTGGAAGAGGAGCGGGGAGTGGGGTTAGAGGGGGGATCCGGCATTCCTAATGCTCCGAGGGGTGAGGGAGGGAGAGGTGGGAGCATCTCAAATCCTTGCCATGGGAAGGACACAGGGAAAGGGAGGGAAAGGGGAATCCCTGCCATGGGAAGGACAAAGGGTGAGGGAGAAGTGGGAGCATCTCAAATCCTTGCCATGGGAAGGACACAGGGAAAGGGAGGGAAAGGGGAATCCCTGCCATGGGAAGGACACGGGGTGAGGGAGAGGTGGGAGCATCACAAATCCTTGCCATGGGAAGGACACAGGGAGGAAGGAGAGGTGGGAATATCTCAAATCCTTGCCATGGGAAGGACAAAGGGAGGAAGGAGAGGTGGGAATATCTCAAATCCTTGCCATGGGAAGGACAAAGGGAGGAAGGAGAGGTGGGAATATCTCAAATCCTTGCCATGGGAAGGACACAGGGAAAGGGAGGGAAAGGGGGGAACATCTCAAATTCCTGCTAAAAGAAGGACACGGGGTGAGGGAGAGAGAGGGAAGAACATCTCAAATCCCTGCCATGGGGAGAACACAGGGAAAAGGAGGGAAAGGGGAATCCCTGCCATGGGAAGGACACAGGGCAAGGGAGGAAGAGGAGGGAACATCTGAAATCCCTGCCATGGAAGGACATGGGGCGAGGGAGAGGTGGGAATATCTCAAATCCTTGCCATGGGAAGGACACAGGGAAAGGGAAGGAGAGGAGAATCCCTGCCACAGGAAGGATATGGGGCGAGGGAGGAAGAAGGGGGAACATCTCAAATCTCTGCCATGGAAGGACACAGGGAAATGGAGGGAGAGTGGGGAACATTTCAAATCCCTACCATGGGAAGGACATGGGGAAAGGGACGGAGAAGGGGGAACTTCTCAAATCCTTGCTGTGGGAAGGACACCAGGCAAGGAAGGGAGAGGAAGGAACAACTCAAATCCCTGCCATGGGAAGGAAACGGGGTGAGGAAGAGGGGGAAAACACCTCAAATCCTTGCCGTGGATCTGGTGACACTTGTGTTACCTGGGACTGGGACCCTTTACCTGGAGTTTGTTCACCATTTCTTCAAACATCTTCTTGGCTTCAGGGCTGTGGGGCTCCTTGAAATAGTCCACGATTCCCACCTGCACCACGATGGACTTGAGGTTCCGGCACACACCTGAGGGGCAGAGATACCACCTGGATTCTCCATACCTGGGGGGCAAACGGCCTCCCCACGGCCAGCATGGACCCCACATCCCACTCTAGTGCTCCTCAAGGCCTTGTGCATGTGGGGAAACCTCACCCTGAAGCTGGAGGAGACCTGCTCGTGGTGGCCAAGACCAACACTGGGCTACGAGATGGTCTCTGACTGTCCTGTCCCCAAATCAGCATCCTACTCTTTCCTTGGGAAACCCTTGCTCTTCCGTCCAGAGGGGTGAATTCCCAGCAAGTCCCACCACAGTCACATGAGCCATGGCCACCAGGACAGCCCCTGCTGATGGCTGTGGACCTCCTGTCCTGGGAAAAGGCTTTGGGCAAGTGGTGTGACCCCGAATTCAGACACACGGGGGTGAACCTCAGGTGTGTCACAGACACTGAGGTCTGGATTGCATTGTGGGGAGCACGGAGGGAGCATCCCCATCCTCTCTGTGGTCCAAGGCAAGATCAGCTCTCCTTGGCCCATCCTCGGCAGGGGGATGTTGGATCCCCTCTCAAGGACCTTCCGCCCGGAGCTCCCAGCTCCTCCCAGTGCCAACAGGTTCCTGTGGGTGGGGCTGGAAGGAAGGATCTGGTCCACGGATCTTGATATCTGGTGGCCTCGTGGCGAATGGGTGATGCCCCCTGGCATTGCTACTCACTGTTGAAGTGCAGCAGGGCTTTGGGGGTGACCGGGGTGGACGTCAGCACCAGCATCTCCAGCCCCTTCAGCCCCTCCCGACACACCTCGGCTGCCACCTCCTGGTTGATCTCGGCCACGTGGTCCAGCTCCAGGACCTGGAGCCTCATGCAGTTCCGGGCTGGAGGGACAGAGCACCCACTGTCAGCGTCCCACGGGGAAGGGATGAGGGCAGCAGATGGCAGAAGGGGTGGGTGGCAGCAAGGGGTGGTGGGGTGCACCCATGGACCTCGGCCCACGGACGTGGATCTCTGCTGAGATCCCCAGGGGGACCTGCAAGGTGCCCTTCTCCTTGTCCCACCAGCGGAGAAGGAGGGAGGTGGTGCCCAGGGAGATGATGGAGTCCCCATCCCTGGAGGCGTTCAGGGAAAGGCTGGACATGGCACTCAGTGCCACAGGATGGGTGGCACGGTGGTGTTGGGTCACAGGTTGGACTCGGTGACCTCAGAGGTCTTTTCCAACCCAACTGATCCCCGGAGAGGTGCCTACCTAAGGATGCCAGTCCCTGGACGCCGCAGCCGGCGCCTCCGACGCCCAGAGCCCGCAGGTGGGGCCAGCACCGCCCGATCATCTGCAGGCACCGGTTGCTGAAACGTGTCGGCTGCTGGCTGGGGAGAGGAGAGGGAGGAGAAACAGCTGGGCAGGGCTGCCAGGAAAGCTCAGCCCTCTCTCCACGAGCGCTCCTGGAAGCGGCGTGGGATTGGGGCATCACCCACCCTGCCAATGCCACGATGGTCACGCTCTGAGGGGGTGTCTCCACACCAGCAATCACCCTAAGCTGTGCTGCCACCAGGACAGGGCAGCCCAGTGCCCCAAACCCTCCATCGTGCCTGGGGAATTTGTGGGTACCTCATCCCTGGAAGTGTCCAAGGCCAGGTTGGACGGGGCTTGGAGCAACCTGGGCTAGTGGAAGGTGTCCCTGCCCATGACAGGGGGTTGGAACAAGACAATCTTTAAGTTCCCCTCCAACTCACACCATTCCATGACTCCATGACTCTCCCTTCAGAGATCTGAACCAGGCTCTGAATTGTTTCCTGCACAGATCAAACTGGCAGCAGGAGCCTGGAGCTCTGGCTCAGGTGGAGAAGCCGACATGCCATGTGCTGCTTCCCCCAGGGAAGACACAAGCCACCAGGACCTGACATCCAGCTCCTCCTGCTGAGTGACATCCCCTCTGTGCTCCTCGATCTGGGCTGACGGGGATGTGACATCCCAACAGACCTCCCAGACAAGAAGTGCCCTGGGGACATTCCCGTGGCACGGATGTGAGCGACCTGCTGTGCGAGCCACGAGCTCCTGAGCGCCCAGACCCTGTGGGGTGGAGATCCACCAGCATCTTCACGCCCCCAAAATGCTTTTCCAAAAGTGAGAGTTGTCTCCCCAAGCAGTGACACCCTTTCAACAACACCCCGGCCCTTCAGGGCTGCTCTTACGTGAGCACAGAGGAGCTCAGACAGGCGTTTGATGTTCAGTGTCACCAACCAGAGCCATCACGGCTTCCCTTTCATCTCTGGAGTGAGCAGCCTCCATGGAAACATTCCCGGCTCAGCAGGGAGGTGTCTACACCCAACAGCTCCCAGCCTTCGCAGGGAGGGATGGGCTGAGCTCCTGGTCTCCCAAACTTGCCTCCAGGATTGCTGCTCATCCCATGCAGACCCTCCCAGAGCAAATCTGGCACCCAGTTTCTTTCCAGCCCATCACACTCAGCCTCCACCTAACACAATTCCATCCCTGGAAGTGTCCAAGGCCAGGCTGAACAGGGCTTGGAGCAACCTGGACTAGTGGAAGGTGTCCCTGCCCATGGCACTGAATGATCTTTAAGGTCCCTTCCAACCCAAACCATCCCACGATTCCACGATTCTTACCACGGATGCAGAGGTGCGACCTGGAGGGAGATGATGTCCCTGCAACCTGCTCCAAGGGCCCAGATGACCTCATGGCCCACGGGGTCCGTGGAGCTCCTGGAACAACACAGAGGACACGTGGTGGCCCCGTCGGCAGTGATGCCGCCCCGGGGGCCAAATGTGCAGCCTCTGTGCTGCTCCCTGGAGCACCTGGAGGTGCAAATCTGGTCACTGTTCATAACCCATGACCTGCCCGTGGACCAGACAGTCCCCACACAGCCCGTGTTGGAAGGCTGAAGGCATTCCTGTCTGGAACTGTGCCTATGGATGTGCAATGTCAAGAACAACAGGAGAAGGTGAGGCTGAAGGCGAGGAGGAGGATGAGGCGAGGCTGGAGGGGGGATGAAGGTCGAAGGGGAGGTTGAAGGGGCATCTTCCAAAGGCAAAGGTGACACAAATGATTGGCTGAGACTGCCAGGCCATGCACCCTCGAAGAGCAGATAGAACATCCCTGCAGGTCCCGCTGGGATGGTTTCACTTGGGGACGGGGAAGGTGCCAGGAGGTGGGAAGGACGTTCTGGCCATGGGCAGCGGCTGCTCCCTGGCCTCTGACCCAGCTCTGTGGTGGCTCTTGGCCAAATGCCACCGCAGGTGTTTGCTGTGGGCTCCTCCCTGGTGTTTTTTGGAGGTATCAAAACCTCATGGGGTGCTGCTGGACTCGTGCAGGGGTTGGTGGAGGTGTGGGTGTACCACGAGCTCAGAGGAGCTTCTGCTGATGCTCCCAGCGCCAAGGAGAGATGTCAGAGAGCACCATCCTGATGCCACCAGCCCAAACAGAGGTCCCTGGCTGTTCCACCACACCAGGATGTCTCCTGAAGGCTGGGGCTGTGCTTCCTAACTCCAAATGACCTACTTCAAAACTGCAGGCAAGCCTAAAAATAAGCGAGGGGTGTTATCTCGAGCGCTTCACGCGTCTCCACTGGAGAAGGTTGCCAAGAGCAGCAGGTTAATTAGAGCATGAGTCAGAGTCACAGGTTAGAGACGTGCCAGGAGCACTTGGACCTGCTCTGCTGCCCTTGGAGGAGCCGATGGAGGAGGCTTTGGGTCAAACCCAGCAGCTCTGAGCTGCCTCATGGGGTGGGATCCCCTGGCCAGGGCCGTGTCTGAGCTCACACGATCCACACCAGAGGAGTGGCTGGATGTGCTTTCCCACCTGAAGGATTCTCCATCCCGGGCTGGGTGAGGACACACATCAGCTACAGGGGAAATGGATTCCAAGGCTGAAGTGGTTGCCTGCAGGGTGCAGTGAGAGCAAGGAGTGTGTAGGGAAGGTAAATCCCGTCTCCACAGCAGGCAGAACCTCTTTGGAAAGTGGCTAAGACCAAGGAGAGGTCAATGATCTCCTCCAGGATGTGTGACCTCCTCCAGGTCCTACACCAGAGCCTTGTGTCCTTGATCTTGAGCGAGATCTCCAAGCTGGATCTTAGCTATCCCGTGGCAGAGCTGTTCCTCCCTCCCAGAAGAGAGGGGCCCTGAGCCTCTTCTCCCCATTAGGAGCCTTCCTCATGGGGTGACAGTCAGGTGGGACCTCACTGAGCACCTCTTCCTCACCCTTCTCTAACACAAAGCGGTGTCCCCCTACCAAAACCCTGGTCACGTCTCCAGCTGGGATGAGATGGGAACAGGATGTTGGGAACGGAGCTGGAAGGGAAAATACGCCAGAAGAGGATGAGAGCTGAAAGGACAGCTGGGGGACACTGAGGCTGCTGCTGGGCTGGGGACGTGGAGAGGTGGCTCCTTCACACCTCTGGATGGCGTTGGAGTAGGGAATAGGGACCGGCATCAGCAGAGCCCCAGCACATCCCATAGATGTTTCCAGATTTCCTCCAGCCCCGTGGCTGAGCAGGGGGGTGTCGGTGGCCGTCCTTACCGGTAGGTGACAGCCTGCAGGGCCCGGCAGTAGCAGCTGGCCAGCCAGAGGGAGCGGTCCGTCAGCACGTTGGGGCAGTGCGAGATGCGCAGGATGAGCAGGTTGCTGCCCGTGGCCTTCAGCAGGGACTCCAGACCAGCCTCCAGGCAGCCCCTGCCAGGGGTGGAGGCAGGGTCAGGCACGGGAGGCCATGCTCACGTTCCCCATGGCCACCCCTTGGCTCTGGGATGCCCGAAACCCACAGCAGGAACCAGTGTCCCACAGTGGAAATGGGATCACAGGAACCCAGAATGTGCTGAGCTGGAAGGGACCCCCAAGGACCATCCAGCCCAACCCTCAGTCCTGCACAGGCCCAGCCCCAAGAGTCACACCCTGTGCCCCAGAGGATCAGCCAAACCCTCCTGGAGCTCTGGCAGCCTTGGGACTGTGCCCACTACCCTGGGCAGCCTGGGCAGTGCCCAACCACCCTCTGGGCTGAGGGCACTTGGTGTGTTCAGCTGGAGCAGAGAAGACTGAGGGGAGACCTCACTGCAGTTCCAACTTCCTGGGGAGGGTCAGAGGAGGGGCAGGACCCAGGGAATGTCCTAAGGTTGTGTCAGGGGAGGACTCATGGAGCATCACCATCATCATCCCCAAGGACCAGCAGCTCCGGCTGTGGGAAGAGGGTGACCAGGACGTGGGCACTCACCGTGTGCTCCTCATGTAGTCCTCCTTGCTCTCCTTCTTCCCTCGCTGGCGCGGCTTGAGGTTTTGGAGGGTGAGGGAGTGCATCTGGGTGCACCACTGGGACAGCATGGCCAGGAACTGGGGGGACAGGGGTGCTCATCACCGAGGTGGGCACCCTCAGCACGTCCCCCACCACCCACCCCCGGCTGTCCTCGGGCAGGTCTGTGCACACACACGAGGTTGTGCAAGAGTGCGGGCAACAAAATCATGGGTGTGACCACAGGAACACGTGGGAACACGTGAACTCCTGCCCTGGAGCACTCACAGGTGAATGCACAGCACACCCAGCGCCGGTGCAAGTGCCCACCTGTGTCCCCCATGACCACAGAGCCACGACCACCCACACAGGGCTGACCACCAACGAGGTGCCGACACAGCTTCACCTCCCTGGAAGGAAGGTCTCACCCTGGGCAGTGCCACCCCCGTCCCCACCCCCAGTACCTTGGAGGACACCCTGGCGTTCTCCAGCAGCACCCGCGTCCACACGGCCGGGTGCCGGGCCACGAACTTCCAGTCCTTGCACACCTCGGCCGCCCGCAGCAGGGTCCTGGTGTCCAGGTAGGTGAAGATGCAGAAGAGAGCCGCCCTCATCTTGAGGATCTCGGGGCTGATCACCTCGCTGGAGTGCCCCGGGCTGCCCCTCTCCAGCCGGCACACCTTGCCCCCGGCCCCCTCGGGCCTGGCCGGGGGACACCCGGCGTCAGTGGCCACTGGGGGACACAGAGAACAGCAGGTAAGGGAACCTCAGCCCCTGTCCCCCAAATCCCAACCTCCCCATCCTCCACCTTCTGCCCTCTGTGAATTATATCAATCTCTACTTAATGCTTTTGCTGGTTTTGATACAATTGCTTTAAATAACTGCTTTGACACAGTGCACTGCACTACTTTATGCCACATTATACCCTACCGGTGGGTTTTTAGCTTTTGCATTGTGTAGTAAATAATTCTGATTAAGTTCTTTCATCTGTTCATTTGTTCTATTCGTTTGTCATAATAAATAACTCGTTTTGTATAAATATATCCTTTTGCCATCACTAAAACCTGTGGGACAAAGTGGTTTAATCACACCTCTAGAATTCCTTAAATTTAAACTGTTGACACAGCCCGAGGTTAAGACAGAATTCAGCCTCACCTGAACCCTTCTCTGAGAAAAAAATCAGTGATTTTTGGGTCAGAACCACCTTGTGGGGAGTGTGTGTGTGTGTGTGTGTGTGTGTGGAGGGGGAAGGGATGGATGCAACCTCACGGAGGTGGAGTGGGGTCGTGTCCCTCATGGCAGCCCCTGGAGCCACATGGGGCAGCTCAGAAGTAGCTTCCAGTCACAAACAGCCAGGGAAAACTATAACACAACACAGCTCCTGCAGCCTCTGACCCAGCTCAGACTGGGACAGTGAGGACACTGCCCTATAACACCCCACAGCCCATATGGGGACAGTGAGGACACTGCCCTATAACACCCCACAGCCCATATAGGGACAGTGAGGACACTGCCCTAGAACACCCCCCAGCTCCTGCAGCCCCTCACCCAGCCCAGACTGGCAGGGACAGTGAGGTCACTGCCCCTCACCCTGCCCTGGAGCCCCAAAGTGGCCGGTGGGTCACAGACTCCTCCTGGGGGAGGTGGCCAGAGGGACCAGAGCAGATCAAACCAAAGGCCACATGGCCCTGCCATCTGCCATGTGGCTGGTCTTCTACAAGGTCCCGGTGGCAGCTCCAGGATCTGTCTCTCCCTCTTCCTCCTTCTCTCTTCTTGCTCCTTCTGCTTCTCTTTCCCTGTCCCTTTCTTGACACTCCGGGTGGCTTTGGGAGCTGGATGGGTTGGATTTTGGCTTAAGTGTTGTGGATCAGTCTGTGCTGGGTTGATATCATGGTGGAACATCTTGTCCAGCTTGTGTGGTGCCCCTTTTTGAACTTTGGCCAAGTTCCCTTATTTTCTCCCCTAAATTAATAAAGAAACCCCTTGGGAACAGGCCCGTGGCTTATTCTCTTGACACTTTCTCAAGGTGTTAAAGAACCCTAAATATATATTTTAAATAAAACTCCTGTCTGAGCCTGTGAGCTGCAGCTCCGGGGCCGGAGCATCCCACCACCCCACCAGGAGAACTCGTGGCCTCACCCGTCAGCCGGCAGCTCCCGGTGGGCCGGGACGCGGCGGATCCGGGCGCGTCCGGCTCCCAGCCCTCGGCCTCCGACTCGGTGGTGCGGGATCCCACGTCGGAGACATCGCCCTCCTCCCCCTCGGTGCTGTTGCGGTAGGGCCGGCGGTGCCAGTTCTGGATGGCCTGGCGGCGCAGCCCCGAGCCGCGGGATCCGTCCCGCGCCGCGTAGGGGTGCCCGTCGGCCGTGTCGTCGGTGGGACACGGCTCCGCGCTGTCGCTGTCGTAGCACCCCGAGCTCTGCGACACGGCCTTGGCCCGGCTCGAGGCCCTGGGGGGGGTTGGGGACAGGGATGCCCGACCTCAGGTCTCTCTGGGATGGGCATCCCCTTCCCATCAGCCCCGGGGCTCGCAACCTATTTCCCCTGCTGTATTCCCTGCCGTTAGTCCTGCTTTCCCATCGCTGGAATAAACCCACCGATCGGTTCTCGGAATCGCAAAATTCCCTCGTTGCGCTCACTGGCATCTATTTTTATTTTTCAAAATTGCACCAAGTTTAGCAGCGGTTAATGAATATTTGGAGGACCCTGAACATCACCTCCCCTCGCCTTCTCTCTTAGGATCCTGGCCCCTGGAATAGGCGCTGAGTGGAAATTTCGCGTTGTTACCAATGCGCGCGCGAAGACAATCCCTTACGTTAGGAATTTTCAGCACCGAGGTGTTTAAATCCTAATTTAAAGCCATGTAATCAACCTGCAAATGGAAGCCTGCGTCCCGTGAAAATCCTGGAGAGGCAGCAGGGCTGGGGACTCACCCGGTGCTGGAGGAGGAGCGCTGGTTGGACACGGCGTACGCACCGTGCACGGCAACGCACGGCCCTGGGTGCCGGTCTCTCTGCAGGGAGATGGGACAAGAGGAGCCAACGTGGCAAACCCCAACATGCGGGTGGTGCACCCCAAAGAGATGACCCCAAAAACCCACCCAGTGCCAGTTGCGTTGTGGGGCGAGGCCCCACACCCAGCGGGATGCGGAAGAGCATCTCCGACATCGCCACGGAAACCCAGACCCACCGAGAAGCATCTTCTCTTTGGGATCTTTGGGATCCCCCCACCCAGAATTATCCACTTCCCCAAGGGGATGAGAAGGGGGTCCCTACACCTCCCCATTCAGCCCTTGGCAGCCCCCAGAGGAGCCCCGTGGGTGCGTTCCCAGTGCCGCCGGCTGCCCGTGCCTGTGCCCGCGGAGGTACCGGTCGGCAGATGGCCTTGGCCCCGGGGGTCCCGCAGCGCCCCAGGCTGCCGTTTGGGGTGGTCCCACAGCTGCTGCTGATGATCTGGAGCTGCTTCTCCGCCCGATCCGCCCGGTCCAGCAGCTCCTCGATGAAGTGCTGGAGCCGGACCTTGGCGTTGGCCTCGCGTGCCGCCGTCTCCTTCAGGAACTGGTCGATCTGCAGCACCTCCCTGTATGGAGGGACTGGTGGGTGACACCCCAGTCCTGCCCCACCCACCCCTGGGGCGCACTTCCGAGCTGGGCTGGGGGTCAAGGATGCTCGTGCCCATCTGGGTTGTTCCGTCATCAGCCTGGTCTGGGTCTGTGCCAGCCCAAGTGGCTCCTGGGGTGGTTTGGGGCAGAGCAGGGACCAAGGGGTGCTCCCACAGTGCAGGGTGGATGTTGCCACCTTGTTTTAGGGAGGAGGTGACATCCCTAGCACCTCGTGCATCACCTCCAGGACTAGAGTCAGGCTCCTGAGCTTGATGGAGCAGGGGGAGGAGGAGAAGGATGGTGCAGTGGGATGCTGGAGGAGGATGGAGGTGGTATCCTGCTTCCTCTGGAGCAGACTTAGGAAAGACCTTAGGAGCAGCCTGACTTCCCTAAACCCCCTCAGCCCTGTACCCCCTTAAGCCCAGTGGTTGCAGAGCCCTGGCTCCTTCATTAACACAATAATTCGCAGGTTCTCTGAGCCTGCAGATGGGCTGGTTTCACCCCGAAATGTGGCCAGCTCTGGGGGACAGCAGCTCAGCCACCCCAGCAGGCCCCATCCCATCCACCCCACCCCCACACGTGTGTCCAGGCACAAACGTCCACTGGCCTCATCCACTTCCCAAAAACACATGGAATTACACGCAGACACGACACACCAGTGAGCAGCTGTGGCCACCCCAGCCCTGCAGCTGGAGGTGCCCCGTGAGCACACACGGGCACACCCAGGGACACACACCCAGAGCTGTCCTGCACACCCACGAGGGCACCACACACACCAGGGAATCACAGACCCAACGTACACCCCGACACGGGCACAGACACACAGAGGGTGGGGAGGCCCTGGCACAGGTTGCCCAGAGAAGCTGTGGCTGCCCCTGGATCCCTGCAAGTGTCCAAGGCCAGGTTGGAGCAACCTGGGCTAGTGGAAGGTGTCCCTGCCCATGGCAGGGGGTGGAACGAGATGATCTTTAAGGTCCCTTCAACCCAAACCATTCCATGGGCACACCCCCCCCAGGCACAGGTACAGCTGGTCACACACACCCCTGGCACCAAACACACCTCTGTGGTTGATGGTGCACATGATACACACACATACACATGGGCACAACCACCTCACACCTTCCCTCAGCAGCAGGAACCCCAGAAGGGGCACAAACACAGACAAACAAACACAAACACAGCTTTGCACATCTGTCTCGGGCACATCTGAACGCACACACCTGAACCTTGGGTGCCTGACTGTGCACACCTGAACACAGAACCCTAACCTTGGACACCTGACCACACACCCAACCATCATACCCAGCCCTGGACATCCAACTGACCACAGAAACCTGACTTTGGACACCTGACCACACACCTAACCATCATACCCAGCCCTGGACATCCAACTGACCACAGAAACCTGACTTTGGACACCTGACCACACACCTAACCATCATACCCAGCCCTGGACATCCAACTGACCACAGAAACCTGACTTTGGACACCTGACCA